TATGTATAAATATATTTATATCTTTTTTTTATTATTCTTTATTTTATTTTAAAGCAACAACCATTAAAAAAAATCAGCTTTGTTATCAACTTTGAGCTGGCTATCTGGAACTCTGGTTTCTGATTTCTGTACAGCGTATTTATTGTAATGAACTTAACGTTATTTTATGCTCAAAAACTGTTGATTCTGTTTTTTTTTCTCGTTTCTCCTTAGGTTGACGAAATGGAAATTTCGTATTTTTTTATTGTTCGGCTTCGGGGTCGCGTTTCAATTAAATTTTAAGCCGCATTCGTGAGACGTGCTTTGCAGGCCGCAAGAGCGATATATGAGATGCTGCCCGTTGAGAGATATATCTGTGTATATATATGCACATATACTATATGCATCTGTATCTACATGCAGCATTAATCCTCACACATTGATGTCCACGACGTTGTTCGAATCCTCGGAATCAATCAAATGACACGCACCGCAAAAGAGCAACAATTGTTGTATGAATTATCTTGGATTTCTTCAAGATTTGCTGCTTTGTTATAAATATTATATTATTGCAACTATATTTTTGTTGGTAGTATTGCACATTCAGAATTTAGAACAATTTTACTGCACACTCCTCAATTATACTAAATTCTAATAATTATAATATTAATAATAATTTTAATAATTTTTTAATAAGAATAACACGATATTATTTGTTTATTTTCTGATTTCCCCGACAAATCGTTTACGTTTAACGGATATACGAATTGGGAAGTACGAAACGGAAACACGCCAGAACGAACCGTTGTGTTCAAAGTTCCATCGCGAACTGATTTTCCTGCCTGTGATACGATTCGGGCCGAGCTAAAGAAACGACGACTCAAAGCGAATGAGCGAATGAGCGAAGCGGAGAGTTCGTTTGTCGCACGAATGCAGCGCAAACGAAGCGGTCAATTTGGCACAGTGGGCGCAAAGAGAGAGAGCCAGTGCAAGCTAATCAGATGTATATGACAAATTTCATGAGCAGTGACAGCATTTAAATGCAACATCATGAATTCTAGCTCATTAAGTATAAAATTCACAGCAAATTAAACCTTAATAATACAAGAGTACAAATCTCTTCTCTGCTGAGACAATAATATAAACTCTCATACTTTGGCCTACTGTGCTGTTGTGTAGAAGAGCGAGAGAGTAAGCGAGCGCAATGATTTCGTGTGTAGAGTGTAGAGTTTGCTCAGCGCATACGGCAAACACTTGTTGTTGACGTTTCTGTGCGGCAGCAAAGCGAGCACACCCCAAAAATTGAAACAGCTTGTGTTCCGATTGAGAGAGCGAGAGAAAACTGTTGCGCTCTAGACGACTCTTATACTGGTCAGTCCACACGGCATTGCCAGTTGCGTGTAAAGAAAAGCGCAGTTATCTTTTTTAGAATATCTCAGCACTTTTTGGGCATGCAATGTGCATACATGTGTTTGTGTGTATATGTGTTTATATTTGTTATGCTGCAAACTCTTCGTTCGTGGTTGCTTCCGCCATACGTTGCTGAAAGTTAACAGGTTGCCCAAACATGTTCAGTTGGGGTCTAGGCAATAGGAACATGAAGAGTAAATAGCGAAGACATAGCCGAAGCCCAGCTGGAAATTAAGTGCTGATTTTCCTGATGATTTGATCAGTTATGAACGGAAAGGAAAGCCATGGAGGTGAATAATAATATCGAAGTTCTATAGGTATAATGTTAATATTTCTTCATTTATCATTAGTTCTTACACCTGATTGTTATTTCGAGACTTCATTAATTATACGCAACTAGACGACAAGTCGTAACACGCCCTCCGTGAACTTTAATGACGATAATAAATGAAATACAACTAAAAACCTCAAGCGGTCTGTCTCCTAGGGGATAGTACGATTATTATTAGGTAACGTTGAACCCATGTGGAGTTTGTTGACTTCTGGCAACAAAGTGTGACTAAACAAATTAAGCCGAGAACTAGGCAAGAAAGAAATACAGAAAAAAAATCAGAGCTGAAACTAAAACGAGAGCGCGAAACGTAAGCCAGGCAAGACAAAAACCTTATAAGGCACCAAAAAAAAAAAAGAAGAAACAACAACAAGAACAGCATAGCGTTAAATTACATATTAGGCCTGGACTCCACCTGGGCCGCATATATCTCTTAGAGGAGTGTCAAAAGAAGGCAGATAATAAAAGCAACAACAACACTGATTTCATGCACGAGAACATGAAATTGAAGTGGACTCTTGCAATCTCATAAGCTGGAAAATTGTCTGTGTGCGCTGCAAACAAAATGATGGAAAATGATCATCTACAACAACAACAGCAACAACAACAACTCGAACACGAAGAGTATCATCGGGAATGCATTACAAGAGCAAAAGAGAAAGAGAGTTCACTAACTTCTAACGGTAGTACGACAGCGGAACAACTGCGCACGCTGTTCAACAAGTTGCCATAAACATGTTGCAGCAACATTGCAGCAGCAGCATTAATTAATGCTGCTGCTCACGTGTTGCTATGGGCGTGCGCTTCTGTATATGTGCCTCTGTGTTTTGTTTTTAGCGCACAAGTTCAATGCACGCCAATCACATGCGAAATTAGCACAAAAGCAACAGCCAACAAGAAACAACAATAAAACTAACTGAAGCTTATGCAAACTAAGACAGAGCCAAGCATAAGAAAAAGAGAACAGCTCTGCCGCTCTCTCAGCTCTGAGCTCTGCCTCGACAATGACATTCAAAAAAGCTGCAAGTCAAGCTTAGAGATGAGCGGTGGGAAGTGAGCAATGCTAAGCGCAGTCCATCTCGCTCTCACACCTTGCTGTTGGTTGGGCCATGCGAATTGTGTTCCCGTCAAACAGCTTTGAGTTCGTTCACCGCACGCGACGAGCAGCGGGCTGTTCGCAAGTATGAACTTATGTGCGAGTAAGTATGTGTGTGAGTGTGTGTGCTTGGCCTAAAATTTTTCAGAGCCGGCCACGACCTGCCTAACTGCACAACAAGTTTAACTTGGTGTGAGAGCAAGAGCAAGGCAGCGTTGCAGAGGAGAGCAAGAGAGACAGCTGTTGTAACGATCAAGCCAAGATGCTAATCTCGCTGCCGCTCGTTAGCTGCGCTCGTTACATGTAACGATAGCTTATACGCATGTTCCCTCTCTTTCTTGCTCTCCCTATCTATCTTCATAGCTGCTGTAATTAGCCAGAGACCTGGTCGAATTAATTAAAATTAGCTCAAGTCTGTGACAATTTGTCGCCATCTCATTTATTTTACACCACGGTGCCATTAATTTATCTCTTATTTATTTTTTTGTGCTGCACATTCAACATTGAAGTTTTTTTTATCGATAACGATAAGTGCAGCATGCGGTATTCATGCAATTTATCTGCATATTTTCTCTGCCAATTTCATGTTGCTCTTCGTTTTTTGCAAAAACAGCTGTGTGAAGTGTCCAACCAGACATGAGGCAATAAAGTTTCAAGTGTGTGTCAGCGTGTCTCTATGTGTCTGTGTGTGTGTGTGTGTATTTGCACATTCTACATGTGTAGATGGAGCACAGGGTTGGCAGGCCCTTGAATGATGCTGTCGTACATATTGCATCAAACTATTTTTTAACCATTTATATATAAGCATATGTAAAGCATTCATTGAATTGGGAGAAATTGAATTGAACTCAAAGGGGTTCGGCCTTTACGGATTTTCGGTGTGCTCTACTGGAATATAAGAGTTTCGTATCCACCTTGGCTGGTTATTTGGTAAATTGTTAAAAGTTCAATACTTGAAATTTCTTTATAATATATCATATCATCCTATAAACTTCTTTTGTTTTAATAAAATAATTTTGAAAACAAAAAAAGAAATAAAAGAAAATAAAATAAATAAAATATAGCTATCAAATTTATAATGTATTTTACTTTATAATTTAAAATTTTATTTTTAATGTAATTACTGTTTTTGCAATTTTACATTTCCCTTTTTAATTCGGCCATATTTCATTCAAATTCATTTAATTTATTAAATACAAATGCAATTGATTTCTTTGGTCTACGCAAACTCAATTGATATACATTTTCAATGGCGTTAGAGTTATTTATGTCAACAGCATATATGTATGTATTGTAAGATTGCAGCCATGCAAAGTGTTTGGATGCATACTACAGTATGTATGTATGTATGTATGTATGTATATTCGCATTTTTATTTTGCACACTGTACACTGTAAACTGCAACTGCAGCTCCTGCCCCACCAGGATTGGCAGCCCTCGCAGCTCAGCTATACCACAAACTAACACAATTCTCATGTTGTTTTCCATTTTTACTTTGTTCTTCGTTTCTCGTACATCCATCACGTATCTAAATTGAATTTATAATAGTTGACAATACAACCCTCTACATATTGTATATACACAGACCAATACTAAGCCATCCACCCACCCACACACACTCACATGCACAGACAGCAGCACACTCACACACACACACACGCATATAAAGTCAATTGGATTCTCAGCATCGCTGAGAGCGAGAGGCCAGGCCAACAACAGCAGCAATTGGCAGCAATTTTCATTCATTTCAAAGGGCACAAAAATGTGACGAAAATTAATTAAAAATCAATTTGAATTTGATTGTTGACCGCTGCTTCCCAAACCTCTTCAGATCTTTTATACACTATGTATATATGTTA